GACAGGGGCAAGCCCAGCACAGCACAAATGGGCAGCGTGAGTGCTCCCCGAACAAACCTGAGACTGCTCAAGAAGGAAAGAACAAAGGATATGTTTTATGGACTCCCTCTGCTAAAACTACAAGGAAACTTCAACACCAATACGGAAGTCAAAGGATACCTAATAGCTGCGCAACAAGTCAAGGTGATATGCAGCCGGCTTCTTCAGACCTTTGGAGGGTCTGTTCACGATCACAGAAGTGAGATTCTGATCCAGGTAACCCAAGACTGCGAAGCCAATCGCCTCGGTTGTGCTTGAGGCGACGCTAGGTACGAACAAGTTCCCCTACAACCCTACAGCCCCAAACTACAAGAGACCAAAACCATGTCCACTTATCAAGTCGCCGGGAGGATCGCATAAGCAATGCCCCAAGCCGGGAAGGGACGGTCCATGCCGGCGGGGTTAATGATCCACGGCCGCTTGCTGCCATCGGACAGGCTCAAGTTTGGCGAGAAGTCTGCGTCCACTTGCAACATTCTCAAGCCTGTGTCGTTGGAGTAAATTGCGGCCAACGCGGAGCCACTAACCAAGGCGATGGTCACCGCGAAATTGGCCGCAAAGTTGCGAACAAAACGGAAAGTCCAAGGGCTTCGGCGGAAGCTTGACAAGTATGTCGCTAGGCCAAATGTCCAAATGAACAAGAGAGCTTCAAACATGCAGTTTGTCAGCGTCAGCCTGCTTTCCGTGAAATTCTCGATGATCGGCCGGGCTCCATCGATGATGAAAATGAGCGAGATTAATCCTAGGCTTTTGGATAACCCCAACGGGAACACATATCAGTTTTTCAGGTTGCTTGTATTGTAATCAGCACCCGGAAACAATTAACGTTAAACACATATAACATCGCTGAACAGCATCCAGCGAAGATGTCTTCGCTGAACATAGTGACGTGCTTCATGAGAGCACACAAGTCGAATACCGCCACTAGGACGGTGAAGAGGGAGCACCACATGCACGTCCAGAAATAAAACGGCATGAACTCCACGTCCACATTCATTCAAGCAACAGCCAGGTCATAGACGACAAGCGTGTAGGCCAAGAACGGACCGGTAGCTCCCAAAATCGAAAGGGGCTGACCGGAAAATGTCGAGAAGATCAAACCACTGATACATGTGCTCATAATCATTTCCATCACTCCGAACTGGCCGTTCGTGCCGTCAAGGAACCGACTGCCGAACGTAATCGCAGGGGCAAGGGCTGCGATGAACCTTACTGCCGCAAATGGCCAATACCCACTTAGTTTTTCTACATTTTCAGAAGAGGTTAAAAATCTAGATGTTGCGCGGCTAAAGAACAGATACAAGATGGACGACACCGACTTTTGGAAGTTCTCCGGTGTGAAGGCATCCGTCCAATCACTGCAATACAGCGGCGCCCGCCTGCGGATGTCGAGTCGCAGCCCCCCCGCAATTTTTCCAGTGAAGTCCAAAGGACCGTAATCTTTCTTGGGAGCATGCGCGATTTGTCCGGATTCATAGCGGTACACGGCCTCGGCTTCCGCCATGTCTGTGTGTTTGTGGGCGTGGCGAAGCAAGCTGAACCTCTGTGCCGAAAGAACCTGCGGTGTAAGATTTCACGCTCAAAGATCATTCGAGAAGCTACATGTTTTGCACATTTGGAAGATCGAAATATTGGAAATTGAGTATGCATGCACATACGGTCATATGTGGCTGAACGAAACATACATGGTATGCCATAAAATCAATGAAAAGCCAAAAAATGAAAAAAACATGAAAACAAAAAGACATGTCTATGTGCATCTATATATATATATATGTACATGTATAGCTCTTTCTCGTAAACCAGTCGGAGTTGCAGGCTGGTTCGGCGATCAATTGGAGACCTTGAAACAAGAACCAACATGGAACCATGTACGACCGAAACAACAGCCAAAAAATGAAATATGCCGCCCATGCCAATGTGACCAGAAGTTATTTTGGTTCTAATCCAACAACCAACAGCAGCCGTGGCCCATGGCATTAAAGATACTGGTCTAAGACAGGATCTGGCTCATGTTCGTCGACAGGACAACAGAGAACCGGCCACGGCGAACTTTATATCAACAATGCAACCAGCCAACAATCCGGGCTACGAAATCCACCAAACATGATCCAACACGGCTTGAGCAGATCGTCAATCTCGGGGACCGGTAACCGCGATCAGCATGGCCCCGAGGTCAAAAATGCATTGCAAGGCTTGCCGGAAGGTGTGGGAATGCAGCTGTAGCCCTGCATGCAGTTTTTGAAGTGCATGGTGGGTCGTGTCATGTGCAGCACAGAAGCGGCACACCAGCAGCTGCGGCAGACCTAGCGGCTGAGCTGGTGAAAGCCACGGATGGTGAGTTTCTGAAGCGGGAGCTTCCCGGCAACAGCCGTAAAACTAGGCGGACTTGGGCTACATTGCGAAAGGATGCATTGTGACGCTGACAACCCATCGCTTCCGCCGGACATTGTTCTTCTGGGCCATATACCGTCTCGAGAAGCGACCGAGACTTTGTTCATGAAGTCCATGAGCCTGTCAACGCAAGCATTGTCGTTGCACGTGGCCGTGTAATTTCATCCCTGCTTTCCAAAGCACGTGTCGCTGCCAGCGTTGCAGCGGAGCGGAGGACACCGACATGAATAAACCGCAAGCACATCTGCTGCTTTTGCGGCGACCTCAATCAACAGCGACCTCGAAGTATCTCAGATTTGGTCCGGCAGTTGCACGCCCAGCCTGCACAAAAAGCAGATGACCCAACGGCGACCCATGGCACCGGATGTTTGGCGAAGCCGTCGAACTTTAAAAAAAAACACGCGGCCTCCGGCGTAACGCGACTGGACTGGCTGTGCTTCCAAAAACCGGGCAGCCATGGGGTCCCCAGAATTGTGAGGCAACCAGTGGGAAGCCAGGCCAAGCCTTCTTGGGCAAAGCCCAAGAGGCCGGTCGGAGCATCGCCGGAAAAGCGGCCGCAGAAATTGCCCCATATTCCAGCTCGCAATGCTCAACTAATTGGCTCTGGGCACCTGCATTGAGGTGCTGTGGGAAGATACCATGAAGACACGCACCGAGGACTTGTCAACCGGTCAAGAACATGACACGCGCGGGCCCTCGAGGCTGCGCAGGAATGGGAAGGAGACAAGCCAGACAAGCCAAAACAAAAGCGAGTTTGCCAAACCATCTGCTAAAATGACACGTCAATCAATTTGCCTGTTGGCTATGTGGACTTGTTGATCTGTTTGTTTGCTGGGGGGAAGTAGGAGAAGAGTGAAATCAGGACAGTTTCACTTCGGCTCTCACATTCGAAGCGCCTTCGTTTTGGGAAACATTCCTGCAGTCGATGACAACAAAAGCTCACATGTTTTGGGGGGAGTGTCGAGCAAGGCTACGGCAAGGAATCATCCAGAATCCAGATATATGCCACCATGCTTGAGACCCACGGCGAGAAGGGGCACTGACAACTTGCAGATTACTTGTGCACGCAGGCTGCACGGTGCACGGTGCTGATCCGAACTCGAAGACCACGGGTTGACGGGTTTACGTATCCTCCAAGCAAACTAAACGTCATAAAGAAGGGACAGCTGGGGTTCTGAATTGATGCAACTGCAACGTCTGAACCTTCGTAGGATCCTGCATGTAGATAGAAAATTGGTCGCATAGATATGATGTGAATAAACGAATACAATAATAATGAGTGAGTGAGTGCACATATACAACTGAATCACGCTGAATGTCTACAATGCGCTGAGGAACACTGGAAATTTTGAAAGCTCGCCTGTTGCTTGTCACAGGCAGTGCACAACAAAAGCTTCGCGTGACAAAGTCAGCAGGACTTTCCTCCACAGCCCTTAACCATGCTTAAGATCGTCATGGATGGTCCGATGGCCTTGACACGCATGTCTAAGCTAGATGCTTTGTTAACAAGTCATGTCGCACACTGGGCTTCCAGGTCTTGCAACTAGTAGCTCTTGTACAAAGACGACCATGAGGACCCTGAGGTGACCTTGGAAGCCCAGAGGTGTGAAAATGTGGTGCCAAGCACCGGATGCAAGAGTTTCTGGAGTTCTGGAACAGGTTGAGGACCCAGCTTTGGGCTCAAGGTGATTTGAAAACACAAGAACGGACCAGAAATCCGGGGAGCTGTCAAACATGTTCGTCCTCCGCGGGGGTTCCTGGAGAGCTCCCCACACATGCGGAGGTGTCAAAAATTCTGTGAAACGGCTGCTGCAACTCTGCTCTCCAAACAAAGCGCTGCAACTGTCACAAAATTCTGTTTCATGCAATTTAACTGAAGGGCTGCTCTCTCATTTAAAAGAAGAGATGCACCTCATTCAAGCCCAGGCCGAGTGTGACGTCAGACAGTCTACTGAAACCCGAGCACAAGCCGGTGGCGTCCGCTTCTCAGGCTCTGCAACAAGAAGCTCAGGCTTGTGCGATCGCCAGCTTGTCGGCTAGCCGGTGCGGGCCTTCTTTCTCAGCCTGAGGCTGTGGGATAAGCGGCGGCTCAGGGTAGCCCTGGTCAAGTGGGCAAGCCTGCGACCAGATGGTCGGTGGTCATGGCGTGATCTTCGTCATGATGGCCATCATATTATGACGTCGACGACCATTTCGATGGAACGATAGAAACGAGAATGATGACAACTAACGGCATGCTGAAAATGACAGAGATAACGGAGGTGGCCAGGTGACAGTCGCAGCTATGATGGTGACGATGATGGTGAAGACGATGATGGTGGTGGCTGCAGTCGTGATCGCGTGGTCGTGGCGGTGGTCGTGGCGGTGGCAATGGCGGCGACGGCGGCGGTGGTGGTGAAGGTCGTGGTGGTGCTCGTTCTGGTGTGCTGGTGCTGGTGCTGGTGGGCTGGTGGGCTGGTGGGCTGGTGGGCGACGGCGACGAGAGCGAGGATGGTGATGATGGTGAGCGGAGCAGGAGCAGGAGGAGGAGGCGCAGGAGGCGGCGGTCGCGTTCCTTGTATCTTCATGTGGTGCTCGTATATCAGGGCACAAGCACGCCGTCTGACATGAACTCAACATCTCCAGCCGCAACCCTTTGTCCCAGAACCACCGCGCCCCCGGCTGCTCTTCGTCCTGGATCTTGGCCTCCCAGTATCAGTATCAGACTTCGAAGGCGTTCGCATCGGGGTTTAGGCGTTGAAAAATTCTCGGGCTGGCGACGTCGGGTTTATGCAATGAAATGAAACCGGCTGAAAACCTTCCATGTACTAGTGGAGATTCGTGACGGCTCATGCCACAACCGCTCCGATCCGCAGGCAACCGTGGCCTCCAGGGACGCCCGCACCTCCTGCAGCGCGATTGCAAAATTGCTTGATCGTGTCTTCAGGAGGCCAAGATGTTGCTTGAAAACCTTCCGACGTGTTGGGGTGCGTGCACATGTTGGCTTAATCCGAGCAGCCCATCAGCATCGCCCGTCGTCGTTCTAGTTATCTTCTGGCAGCAGTCGTCTTCGTTGTCGTGGCTGTTGGTTGCCGTGGTTCAGGCGAAGTGGTGATGCTGCTTCCTGTATTGCGCGAAGCGTGGCGGGCACTCGTGGTCACCCTCGTTCTCGGGGTCGTCGTCTTGTCGAAGTCGTAGTCGTACAGGTAGTCGTAGGAGTAGTAGTACCAGTAGCAGCAGCAGCAGCAGCAGCAGCAGCAGTGGCAGTCGCAGCGGCAGGAGTAGGAATAGTAGAGGTAGGAGGAGAAGGAATAGTAGCAGTAGTAGTAGTAGTAGTAGTAGTAGCAGCAGTAGCGGTAGCAGTAGAAGTAGCAGTAACAGTAGCGGTAGCAGCAGTAGCAGTAGTTCTAGTAGTTCTAGTAGTAGTAGTAGT